ATGACGACGCTTGCAGTTGACCAGAACGCCTCGTCGGCCATTGACGAGAACGACTTCGACGAGGACCATGGCGAGCACCACCCCCACAGGAACTCGGTCCACCACAAGCTGCGTGCGAGCAGCTCCATCATGCAGCTGAAGAAGCTGCTGGGTACGTTGGCCGAGCACAATGGCTCACTCCTCGCTCTTCGGCGCTCTAACAGCTCTGCCAGTTGCCAACCGAGGAGAAATCCCCATCCGTATCTTCCGAACAGCGCACGAGCTGTCGCTGCACACCGTGGCCGTCTACAGCCATGAGGACCGCCTCAGCATGCACAGGCAAAAGGCCGACGAGGCGTACGAGATTGGCGCCCGCGGCCAGTACACGCCTGTCGGTGCTTACCTGGCGGGCGATGAGATCATCAAGATCGCGGTCGAGCACAACGTGAACATGATTCACCCGGGCTACGGCTTCTTATCGGAGAATGCAGAGTTCGCGCGCAACGTCGAGAAGGCTGGCCTCATTGTGAGTTTTACCGCTTTGTTTACGCTATGACGGAGCTGCGTGGAGGGGTCGCCGCTGCCTATCAGCCGCTGCTGAGCCTATCGCTCCCGCGCGAGATGAGGCATTGGCGGGGCCGATCCCCAAGCAGCCCGGCGCCGATCACCGCAGCGCCCATGGCCTTTTTTTCCTACCCATGCAATATGCGACTCATGCTTACTTCTGCTTCTAGTTCGTGGGCCCCTCTCCCGACACCATCGACGCGCTTGGTGACAAGGTCTCGGCGCGAAAACTCGCCGTCAAGTGCAACGTCCCCGTGGTGCCAGGAACCCCGGGACCCGTCGAGAAGTTTGAGGATGTCAAGGCCTTTACCGACGAGTATGGCTTTCCCATCATCATCAAGGCTGCTTTCGGCGGTGGTGGCCGTGGCATGCGTGTAGTACGCGAGCAAGAGACGCTCAAGGACTCGTTCGAGCGCGCCACTTCAGAGGCCAAGTCGGCTTTTGGTAACGGAACCGTCTTCGTCGAGCGCTTCCTCGACAAGCCCAAGCACATTGAAGTCCAGCTTCTCGGTGACAACCAGGGCAACGTCGTCCATCTCTACGAGCGTGACTGCAGTGTCCAGCGTCGTCACCAGAAGGTCGTGGAGATTGCTCCCGCCAAGGACCTCCCAGTTGAGACTCGTGATGCTATCCTTGCCGACGCTGTCAGGCTCGCTCAGAGCGTCAAGTACAGGAACGCCGGAACTGCAGAGTTCTTGGTTGACCAGCAAAACCGGTATGTTATATATCCCATCCCACCACACTCCACCACCTCGTAGAAGAAGAAACGGAACACCCTGGAGCCTACATCGACGTCAGGTTACTCCATTTACAAGGTTTCATCTCGATGTAGTCTCCAGGGTGTCCATGAAGAACTTCGCTTCCATTCTACCTCAGCCCATTCCACCCTCACCTACTCCACTTCTACATGACTACTATACTATACTTATGATGGATTTTGCTAACTATCAATAGCTACTACTTTATAGGCGAGTTTAAACGACATGAATTCATAGAATAAGTTTACTAACATCTCTATAGAAATCAACCCCCGTATCCAAGTCGAGCACACCATCACCGAGGAGGTCACCGGTATCGACATCGTTGCGGCACAGATCCAGATCGCAGCAGGTGCATCTCTCGAGCAGCTTGGCTTGACCCAAGACCACATCTCCACACGAGGCTTTGCCTTCCAATGCCGAATCACCACAGAAGACCCCGCTCAGAGCTTCGCGCCTGACACCGGAAAGATCGAGGTGTACCGCTCTGCCGGTGGTAACGGAGTCCGTCTCGACGGTGGTAACGGTTTCGCCGGAGCCATCATCACCCCTCACTACGACTCTATGTTGGTCAAGTGCTCTTGCCGCGGTTCCACATACGAGATCGTCCGCCGAAAGATGCTGCGTGCTCTAGTTGAGTTCCGTATCCGTGGCGTCAAGACCAACATTCCCTTCTTGATCAAGCTCCTCACACATCCTACCTTCGTCGACGGACAATGCTGGACAACCTTCATTGACGACACTCCCGCTCTCTTCGACTTGATCGGATCTCAGAATCGTGCTCAGAAGCTCCTCGCATACCTGGGTGACCTCGCTGTCAACGGCAGTCAGATCAAGGGACAGATTGGTGAGCCCAAGTTCAAGGGCGTCATCCCCATCCCGGCCATCCACGACAACAACGGCAAGAAGGTTGACACCTCCGCGCCTTGCACCGAGGGATGGAGGAACGTCATTCTCAAGGACGGTCCCGAGGGATTCGCCAAGGCTGTTCGCGCCAACAAGGGTTGCTTGATCATGGACACCACATGGCGTGATGCCCACCAGTCGCTTCTCGCCACTCGTGTCCGAACTGTTGACTTGCTCAACATCGCCAAGGAGACCAGCCATGCCTTCTCCAACGCATGGGCTCTCGAGTGCTGGGGTGGAGCTACTTTCGATGTCGCCATGCGCTTCCTCTACGAAGACCCCTGGGAGCGTCTTAGGAAGATGCGCAAGCTCGTACCCAACATCCCATTCCAGATGCTCCTCCGTGGCGCCAACGGTGTTGCGTACTCCTCGTTGCCCGACAACGCCATCTTCCACTTCTGTGAGCAGGCCAAGAAGAACGGTGTCGACATCTTCCGTGTCTTCGATGCGCTGAACGACGTTGAGCAGCTTGAGGTTGGTGTCAAGGCCGTCCTCAAGGCTGGTGGTGTCGCTGAGGGTACCGTGTGCTACAGTGGCGACATGCTCAACCCCAAGAAGAAGTACAACCTGGAGTACTACTTGGATGTTGTCGACAAGATCGTCAAGATGGGAGCGCACATCCTCGGTATCAAGGACATGGCTGGTGTACTCAAGCCTCGTGCCGCCCGTCTTTTGATTGGTACCATCCGCGAGAAGTACCCCGATCTCCCTATCCACGTGCACACCCACGACTCTGCCGGAACTGGTGTTGCATCTATGGTTGCCTGCGCTGAGGCTGGTGCGGACGCTGTTGATGCCGCTATCGACAGCATGTCCGGTATGACTTCTCAACCTAGCATGGGTGCCATCCTCTCATCTCTGGAGGGCACCGACTTTGACGCTGGTCTGGACGCACACATGATCCGTAACTTGGACGCATACTGGGCCCAACTCCGTCTCCTCTACTCACCCTTCGAGGCCGGTCTTACCGGACCCGACCCCGAAGTCTACGAGCACGAGATCCCCGGAGGTCAGCTTACCAATTTGATCTTCCAGGCATCGCAGCAAGGTCTTGGTGAGCAATGGGCGCAGACCAAGAAGGCGTACGAGCAGGCCAACGACTTGCTCGGCGACATCGTCAAGGTCACCCCCACCTCCAAGGTCGTTGGTGACTTGGCTCAATTCATGGTATCCAACAAGCTGTCTTACGACGACGTCCTAGCCAAGGCTGACCAACTCGACTTCCCATCCTCTGTCCTGGAGTTCTTCGAGGGACTCATGGGTCAGCCATACGGCGGTTTCCCCGAGCCCCTCCGCTCGCAAGCTCTCCGTGAGCGAAGGAAGATGGACAAGCGCCCTGGTCTCTACCTTGAGCCCGTTGATATCCCCAAGATCAAGGCTGACCTCAAGGCTAAGTGGGGTGACGCCACAGAGTGTGATGTTGCATCATACATTATGTACCCCAAGGTCTTTGAGGACTACAAGAAGTGGACCACCAAGTACGGAGATCTTTCCGTTCTGCCAACTCGTTACTTCTTGTCGCGCCCTGAGATCGGCGAGGAGTTCCACGTCGAACTTGAGAAGGGTAAGGTTCTCATCCTCAAGCTCCTCGCCATCGGTCCTCTATCCGAGCAGACCGGTCTGCGTGAAGTCTTCTACGAGATGAACGGTGAGACCCGTACCGTCACCGTGGAGGACCAACACGCGGCTATCGAGAACGTCTCGCGACCCAAGGCCGATCCCACAGACAGCAGCCAAGTCGGATCACCCATGTCCGGTGTCTTGGTTGAGGTCCGTGTTCACGATGGTAGCGAGGTCAAGAAGGGTGACCCAGTTGCTATTCTGAGCGCCATGAAGATGGAGATGGTTATCTCCGCACCACACTCTGGAAAGGTCAGCGGCCTGTCAGTACGTGAGGGTGACTCGGTCGACTCTGGCGACTTGGTCTGCAAGCTCGTCAAGTGAGCGTTTCGCTTGGATAGTTTGCTTTGTTTATGAGAGTTATGAAATCCAAGAATGGACATGATTAGATAGTAACGAATTACGGCGCTGGGATGCCATTTCAACTTCAAAAACGTCCATCTGTTCCTTCTGACCGTGCCTATGAACATTGAACCACACAACTTCTGAAGCTTTGCGTCGCTTCCACACGAATAATGATCGTGCTATACAATACGCAAAAGGATTCTCTTAGCCTATGCCCCCAGTTTCCAATCTGCCCAAAAACATACATTGCATTACAAATTGATTATGTTCAGGAGATCATAGGCCTAGGAGGTATCTAGTGGATTTTGTCCCGGTATACTTACAGACATGCCATAGCGCAGTGTGTACATCAGGTTATGACACATTAAAGCAAGGCCGCTTGACATCATAGTCGTTACTACATTGCTGCAGAAGGAGGCCAAAGAATAAATATACACTCGCTTTAAAGTATACATGGGACGAAAATGTACAGCATCGCATGTGTATTGAGCTTCGGTAGTTGTTACACCGAAACAAAGCTACCACCACCCAACCCCAGACTCCAAGAAATGCAGCATAACTAGCCTAGTCTAAACGGAAAGCCCTACCCGTATGCAGGTTCCCTTGAACCGAGCTCCAAACGCCCAAACGCCATGTCAGATCCAAGGGATCCACTCGATCGAACCACTTGATCGGGAGAAGCCGGAACGCAGCCACACCTCCTACAAGCTACAGGGAAGACACTGACCAGGCCTGTAGCCTACACTAGGGCAAAAACAAGCAAACGAGAAGATCTAGCGTCGATGTAGGCTCCGGGGATGTTTTGGTTTTCCCCTTGGATAGAATGATCTACCCCATGGAGCCAAAGTCAAGCTTCCGAGCTACCTTGTCGGCGCGACCATTGGTAGGCATCTCTCCGCCTCTCCGCTTGAGATCCTCTCCCATGGCTTTTGCCCCACCACCTTCTTTGGGCAAGTTTTCTTTCTTCGTGGGCCGGGGTGCGTTGGTCCACCACTTATCCTCTAGCGCTTTGCGAGCCGTGTACCTCTTCGCCGGGTCCAGTGTCAATAAACCCTTGATAAAGTCGCAGCCGTCGTCTCCCAGGGCAGGAAACTGTTGTTTCCACCACACGCGAGGACGTGTCTGTCTGAAGGCTGTGGAACCCTGTGGACCGGTTTGCTTCTCAGGCGCAACGTAGTATGGGAGAGAAGACACGCCTGGCCAGGTTTCCTCGGTCGGCGTTCCGAACTTCTCGCAGATGGTGGCGACTTGTTGGATGTCGGTGTCAGAGTAGAGGAACCAGTTGCGGATACACAGTTCTGCCATTAGGACTCCGATACTCCACATGTCAGCTGTGCCGCCGTAGTGCGAGCAGCCGTACAGCAACTCCAACGGACGGTACATGCGTGTAATGACCATGGTAGTCATTTTCGTTCCTGGATCTGCGAAACTCCGCGCAAGACCGAAATCGGCAAGCTTGACTGTTCCGTCGGCGGCAATCAGGGCGTTACTACCCTTGATATCGCGATGCAGGACGAAGTTCTCGTGGCAGAACCAGATTCCCTGACACAGCATGTTCATCCAAGACTTGATATCCGCCTTTGTGTATGTGATTTCCTTGTTCTTCCAGAGCGCCTCCAGGTCTCCCAGGGGCAGATGTTCGAGTACGAAGGACAGGTTTTGGTCTTTGCTGGAGAAGACGTCGTGTAGCTTTATTACGTTGGGGTGGTCGATTTCGAAGAGAAACTGCATTTCGCGGAGGGCGTCTGGGGCGATTCCGTTGGGGTACTCGGCGTTGAGTTTGATCTTTTTGATGGCGACGAGCTTCTTGGGGTTGTTGACGTAGTGGGCTTGGAAGACTACCGCATAGGTACCTTCTCCTAGTTTCTGGCCCATGACGAATTGGCTGCGCACCCGGTCGTTCATCTGCTCGGCGAGATCCATGCCTCTGTCTTCTGCTGGGGCTGTGGACGGTACAGCTGGTGACTTTGTGGGCTTGGTTGTGTGGCTTGGAAGCGCGAGAGTTCTAGCCCTGGCCCCATCTTGAAAGGCTGCGCCGGGTGGGTTCGGCCGTGGGCTTAGGACAGCTGGTGATGCCATAGTGAAGTCGTGGGTGTAGCGGCGTGATTGGGGTGTTGCGACGAGGCTGGTCAACGAAGGATGGCGAATGCTGGCGTTAGTGGATACTCCACAGCTCTCGTGAGGTAAGCGACCCAAAGCCCATACCGCAGTCCTCCTCTTTTAGACGGTGAAGGTGGTGGGCGCGTGGTTCGCGACTGCCGTTCGCGTTCCAGGGACCGCGGCGGCGACGATGCACGTCCCCGAACATTTTGGCTTGGCCGCGCTTTTCTGCGGGGAGCTTGCCCTCACCACCGACGCCCAGCAGTCGCATTCCACACATCATGGCTACTTCGGCGCGAGGACCGCCAGGCACTGTCGCCGTCTCCAAAGAGGGAATCCCGAACCGCACGTGAGTTTACCCTGACCCCAATGCACGGAATATATGCTGATATCAAACAGATTATACGTGCGCAACCTCCCCGACAAGCTACAAAAAGAAGACCTTAAGCGGAACCTGTACATGCTGTTCGCGACATATGGTGTCATACTCGATGTTGTCGCGCTCAAGACCATGAAGATGCGAGGCCAGGCGCACGTTGTCTTCCGCGACGTCGATTCCTCAACACAGGCCATGCGCGCTCTACAGGGCTTCACTTTCTTTGGCAAGGACATGGTACGTGATTCCCGAATTACGAACGAAGAAAACATGCTTACACTAGGCAGCAAATCGCATACGCAAAGACAAAGTCCGACACAGTAGCCAAACTAGATGGCACCTACAAGATGCCCGAGCCGGAGCGCGAAGACGAGCCCGAACAAGCGTCTGCACAGCCCGCAGGCTTCGGCACCGCACCCGAGAAAGCAGTTCCGGTCAATGCACAAGACGCCGCCAAGGGTCAGAAGAGAGGGCGCGACGAAGAAGAGGAGGATGAGAACTCGGACGCGGAGATGGAGATGGATGTGAGCGACGACTCGGACTAGACGGTTAAGACTGCGTATGGAAGGATATGATACCCACGAGCAATGAACAGAATCAAAAGGGCACTTTAGAAGACGCGTCTGTGTGTGTTATTGGAAAGCGTGTATGGGGAGACACCAAAGCTGTTCTCGGAGTGGTGCTGACTTGATACAGACCCGATATTAGCTTCTCTCCAACGATCGACTAGTGTACGTCATTATCGTCGTGCGCTCAACCACATCGCTATATTTATGGTATAGCTAGATGATCTTCGCAGAATTCATAAATAACTAGAGTTAAATGATAGGGCACCTAGGACCTCTTCGCTGAAGGTCTTACCACGCATCGAAAGACTATAGAAGAGCTAGACGGTGTTCAATAGCCGATCACCTAGCGTACCAGCCTTTGAATCCCCCTTGACAACCTTCTCGCCCCCTCGTGCCTCAACTCTTGTACGAATACACTTAAGCATGTTTGCTCATGCAAGCCTCGAGCAGACCCAGCAGCTCGGACTTCCGCTTTCCCCCTATCCAGCTGCCGTGAATAGAATTGCTAACGATTATCCTCCATTCCTCCATACTCAAGTTGAAAGCCTCTTGCACCGCGCAATAATTGTTCAGAATGTATCCACCAAAGTAAGCTGGGTCGTCACTGTTGATACTGAACTTGACTCCTGCTTCGAGGAATGTCCTGATAGGTACTTGGCCGACGTTTTCCACAGCTTGGAGGCAGACATTGCTCAGCGGACAAACGGTCAGGAGTATCTCCTCCTTTACTACCCGACGGAGCAGTTCAACATCTTCGGTAAGACGGATGCCGTGATCGATGCGCTCAGCGTGTAGTGCGTCGAGTGCACCGCTGATGTACGTCGGATCTCCTTCTTCACCCGCGTGCGCTGTTCTTCTTAACCCCCTCTTCTCACCCTCGCGATACATGTCGACAAAGAGCTCTGGGCGGAACCCAACCTCGGACGAGTCCAACCCAAGACCAGCAATAGCGCGCTCCTGACCGTCTCCGCTCTCGAGATCAAAGTGCCCACCCTTGACAGCCGCTGCCATAGTCTCCGCAGCTGAACTGACAGGCATGTGCCTCAGGAAACACATGATGAGACAACTCGTTATCCCCAGCTCTTCCTCCGCCCGTTTCCTTGCCGCATTGAAACCACGTACCACGACGTCAAAATCGATGCCTCGGTCCGTGTGACTCTGTGGATCGAAGAATACTTCTGCATGGCAAACGCCGTCTCGAGCTGCTGTTGTGAAATACTCCCAAGCTAGCATCTCAAAGTCCTCCTCATGCACTACGACTGCGATGCCGCGGTAGTAGTACGCCAGGAAATCGTCTAGGTTCGTGAAATGCGAGTACCGTTCTGTAAGTGTTGCGGGCGACGTGTAAGCGACATCTTCAGATGGAGATGGCAGGGTGATGTTGTTCTTGGAGGCCAGAGTGAAGAGAAGGCTTGGGCTGAGGCAGCCTTCGAGGTGGAGGTGATGTTCGCATTTTGGGAGGTCTGCGAGGAAGTCGTGGGTGGCTGATTTGCACATTGTGATGTGTCTGTATAGGGAACTCTGAAAACGAATTTGTGGTATAAAATGTTCAAACAAATTCGGTTTCTGGCTTTTTTTGAAAGATTCTGTTTTGTAAGACTAGTTCTATCGGAGGCGGACGGGGATTGTCGGTGTTCGCCGGTTCTTGCTGGGATGATGGAGAACATCCAGCTAGAGGGTGGATCCTAGATTGGACTTGTAAGGCAGCTGCGCTCTATGCAAACACAGTTTGGTGGAGCCTGGAAACGTCACTTAAATTTTATATCGCATAGATATTTTTGTCCATCGCCTCCAAATGCTAGTCTAGGTTGTCACATCTTATCGAAGTTCGCGTTTTTGCCCAATCGCTCGTGGCTCGTACATGGTTTCCACAAACTCTTCTAGCAGACCCTCACTCTCCGCATCTTGTCGAGTAGAAGAACCCGTCCCACTTCTAGCATTGCTTATCGGCAATGTAGAGTCGCCTATCGTCCTTTCTCCATCACCGAATGTTTTCTTGAAAACGCTGTCATAGCTGATCCACATGCCCGCAAAGACCATGGCACTGAGCTTCGCTAGCCACCAAGGCGACCTTCCCTTTTTATCTTGCAGCTTCCTCCCCATTGCAAAGATGAACGCGATAAACGGCATCCAGATACCCATAAAGATAGCCTTTCCCATTGCCTGTTTCTTGGTTGTGATGGTGTATGTGCGTATCTTGTGTAGGTATTCCTGATACTCGTTTGGAAGATTACATTCGGCGGCGCCATCGGTTATGAGCTTGAGGTATCGTGCCGAGGGCTGCGCGTAGCTTGGGTCGGGGCGCTTCACGCGGTCGGTGGTTTGTACTCTGTTCTCGCTGTCGACAATGGGGGCGAAGAGCGTGTGCGCTTTGAAGGGCTTCGAATCGGGCGTGGTGGGGACTGTGTCGGAGGGCGGTAGCACGTAGCAGTCAACCAAGATATCGTCGTAGGCGCTGCCTCCACCTTCCGTCGCAATGATGTGCGCATAGTCGGACAGCGTCACCTCGTATACAACGCCCACCAGGCCCTTGTGCCATCGGTCTTTGTGGTAGTCTTGCGCGTCCGGTACGCGCAGTGCTGTGTTGGCGAAGCAGGGCTCTTTGTAGGGGAAGCCTGGGAGATCGAAGGTCAACCTCAGCGAGGGAACAAGTACGTTGACCTGTGAAAGCGGACGGATACCGCGCACGCCTCGGAAGGTTTCATTGCAGAGGTTCGAGCCATAGGCCAGGTACAGCACCGTTTTCGCCTTCTCTTGGGGTGTTGCAGACTGTTGCGACACGAGCTTGTCCGTGTCCAGCGGCGCGTCGGTAAGGGAGGCGTCTAGACGCGCATGGGATGGTGGTGGTATGGCTTCAAAGACGGTCATGGTAGGATCTGCTGTGTGGATGATCCATAGGTAACAGCCGTAACCGTGTCTTCATATACTGCGCGTAGTTTCGGGCCGTGCCGATTTCGCTGGATGTTTCGTCCGGACCCTGTCTACATCATCGATTCTTGGATTTCTCATCTAACGCCGAGGGCCCGAGCACGACCCGGGAGCCTACAGTAAGCTGCCAACCCTCACACCGCACGAACAAAAGCAACCCAGCTGACTACAACGGACTAATCATCTCTATCCTGTCGAAACATATGGGGCTTTGCTTCATTCAGTCATGTCGTATCCCTCGTACGCCGTACTAGCGCTGATACCTGCTGTCGTGTGGCTGCTGTATCTCCAAGTAAGCCAATGGCGCTTCAAGCGATTCGCGCACATTCCCAGTAAGCTGTCATCGAGTTTTCTCTTTGGACACCTCGGCCATATCGCGGCGGAATACAAGAACATAAGTAGTACCGTTCATCCAGGTAGGATCCACAGCCCTCTGCATGGTCACCACTAATAGCAGCCAGACTATGTTTTCGAAAACATATGGAAGGCTCAAGGCAGCCCAGAATACATGTTCTTCGACACGAGGCCTGTACAGCTTCCACTTCTCCTCATTGCGTCCCATGCGATGGCGGAGCAGGTCTCCAGAGCCAGCAAGACGCAGCAGTACAGCGTTACCAAATCTCCAACTGTTCAAGGGGGCATGGGGGACCTGATTGGGAAGTATTCCCTGATCAGCGAGAATGGCGAATCCTGGAGAGGGCTTCGCAAGACCTTCAATCCAGGCTTCGCGCCGCAGCATTTGCTTTCGTTGCTTCCTGTTATGGTTGACAAAACGCAAACGTTCATGAAGAAGCTCGACGCGTTAGCAACTTCCGGTGCCGCGGCCGAGATGGATGGCTATTGCACCGATGTCACGTTTGATATCATTGGTGGTTTAGTTACTAATATCGATTGCAAGGCCCAGGGCGACAGCGAACACGTCCATCCCATCGTCCGAAACTTCCGCACGCTGAAGAATGTATATGCTGGGGACAACGGTCTTATGGCATCCTGGTTGAACCCAGTAATGCGCGCCAAGAAATACATCTACAGCCGACGACTGGACTCGGCTGTAAAGGCGTGTGTTGTAGAGAAGTTTGCAGACATCAAATCAGCGCATCATACAAAGGAGAAGAAAGACCGATCGGTACTCGCGCTAGCGCTGGAAGGCACTGATGAACTGACCCCCTATGTCCTGCAAAGTACTGCGGATCAAGTCAAATCGTTTCTTTTTGCAGGTCACGATACCACGTCCATTCTCCTACAGAGATTGTTCTACGCCCTCTCTATACACCCGGATTGCCTCGCGAAGATCCGCGCGGAGCACGATGCCGTTTTCGGTGACGCAGAACCACACGATGTATTCTTCAAGCGGCCAGATGAGACCATGAAAGCGCTCAAATACACCTCTGCATGCATCAAAGAGGCTTTGCGACTGTGGCCTCCAGCAGCCTCTGCCCGAATGTCTCACAACAACTTCAAAGTACGCACTTCGGACGGAGAGGACGTGCTTGTTGACAATTGCGTCATATACATCTGCCATCATCTCATCCAACGAGACCCCAAAGTTTACGGAGAGACAGCAAATGAGTTCGTCCCAGAGCGCTGGGTCGGCGACTCTGATACAAGCAGCGCTTCTACTGAAGTCGACGGATCAAGTGCTGGCGAGAGCAAGATTCCCATCAGTGCGTGGAGACCTTTTGAGCGAGGACCCCGCAATTGCATTGGCCAGGAACTCGCGAACATGGAAGCCCGAGTCATTCTCGCATGTGTGATGAGACGATATGACTTTGTCAAGGTCGGACTTGGAGAAGTTGAGACAGACGAAGCCGGTCAGCCTATTAGGGACCAGATGGGCAAGTACAAAACAAAGTCCGAGTTAATCAACGTAAGCTGTCTTACCGTCCCTCGCAGTGAGTACGAGACTAACTTATGAACAGACCATGTCCATCACCTCGCGGCCCATTGATAAGACCGTCATGCGTATCAAGTTCCGTCAATCTGGGAATTGATAAACCATGATTCATGAAGTCGTTTCCTTGCAGCTTTGTTTCTGGAACATATGAGATGTATTGAATTCAACGGCCTCCTGAGAGTGCACGATTCAATCTATCTATACTGTAAATTTCGTCTTGTTCTCCTCCGCGCAATCTTCTGCGATTTTTCGTACCTCCTCTGCGCCTAGTTCTTCAAATATATCGAATCCCCATCGCGACTGGACGTTGAATCGCTTGTGTCTCTCCAACCCGCTCAGCTCATCGAATGCACCTTTCGGTAGCTCTTTGACTTGCATGTTGCTCTTAATTCTGCTGGGTGTAACACTCTTGGGCAGCACCACAGTGCCGCGCTGAATGCCCCAACTCGCAAGTAGCTGGCCGCCATCCATGCCCAGTCTTTGCCCCACTACGCCCACAAGCTCGTCGTCGACTGTGCGTGGCTCTCCCGTCTGGTTGTTCCCGAGGGGTGAATAAGCTTCGATGAGAATACCTTTGCTCTTGCAGAAGTCGAACAAGGCAGGTTGTTGGAGATATGGGTGTGCTTCGATCTGGTTTACCGCCGGCACAACATCGGTCTTAGAAAGAAGATCATTGAGGCGATTGACGGTGAAGTTGGATACGCCAATAGCGCGTACCTTGCCGGTGTCGAGCAGCTTCTCCATGGCCTTGTAAGTTGTCGCAGGGTCGATGTCAGCAAGGTCAAAGACGCCACTGTCGCGCAGTGGGAACCACTTCCCTGTAGCACCGTTGAAGGCACTGTATTCATGTTAGTACACTGTGCGTGCGGCGAGACAAGGGTTGAACATACACAGGCCAATGCATCAGGAACAAATCGAGATACTCAACACCAAGGTCCTGTAACGACTTATCGAGTGCTGCCTCTACATCTTCGGGCGCATGCTTGGTATTCCAGAGCTTGCCAGTGAGGAAGATGTCGGAGCGAGGGATACCGCTCCTCCTGATGCCATCACCCACTTCAGCTTCGTTGCGGTAGATGGCAGCGCAATCGATGTGACGGTAGCCTGCTTTGAGCGCTGTCTCGACGGCGCGCTCAACCTCGCCAGGCTTCGCTTGCCATGTGCCGAAGCCCACGGCCGGTATTTGCGCGCCTGTGTTGAGGGTGAAGTGTGTGGGGAGAGGCATGGTTGCTGTATAGCGACGCGATACGGTAATGCCTAGGTGGGATCAGATGGGCGGGCTTCAGGGGTATGCAGTATAATGCAGAGATAGTGTGCGATGTCTTGACAGGACGCACTGCCATCTGGTCGATATATACATCCATAGTGAATCTTCCATGACTGCCTAGGTACCGAAGGCGCGAGGCTGTCGGAACACTGTCGGAACCGGAGACGGAGAAGGCATCATCAATTGACCACACCAGGGCAAGGACAGGACCCAGCAGGATGCGCGGCACTACATCCTGTGATGACCTCCAATTCGTGCAGTGGCTGGACTAAGGCATCCGAGTTCCGTCAAGTGCCTCGGGATTGAAATGGGGAGGTTGGCGAGCGGAGCTAATTCATCCGCACGGATTCTCGGAAACGTGCCCGCCTCTTTCTCCCTCCGCCATGTCAAACACACCCAGCAACACGGCGGTACCACAGAAGCGGAGCCTTGATGTCGCGCCGGGCACCAACAATACCAGGCAACGATTGGTGAAAGTCACGAGAGCATGCGATGTGTGCAAGACGAGGAAGTCAAAGTGCTCCGGCGACCAGCCGTGTGCGAGCTGTATCCGCCGGGGTCTAACATGCCAGTACGAAGCCGTCTACCTGAGAGGCAAGGTAGTCTCCCCGCGCCCTTCTGGTCCCGCCGTTGCTAGCCCTCAGCGCACCACGTCTGCTCCAGGCTATCCTCATGCTATACTCAGTGTCGCACCGAGCATGGCTGTAGGCGGCAACCGTCGCGTTGGGGAAGAGACGGAGCCTCCTTCGCGAGCTTCCCCTGGGCTTGAGATCGCAGCTGGGCAATACTCCGACTCAACGTCTGGTCTCTCATTCTTAAGTCGCGCATGGCGGCGCATCTCCAACAAAGAAAGCAGTCAGGTCGTGATAGGCTCCAATGAAGACCGCCAGCTACTCATGAGTGCTGGTGACAAGCCCTTCCTGGAAAGTGGCCAACTGCAGATGCCATCCCTGGATCGTAGTCGCCAGCTTCTTCATCTATATTTTGATGTGTGCATTGCGACATATCGGCTGCTACACAGACCTACCGTTGAATGTTGGTTGGAGACTGTGTCTGAGAACGCAAAACTCAACCAAGCCCTCTTTCATAGTATGTACCGCCTGATTAAAGATAATTGAGTTTTACTGATGATGGCTCTCCTCGTAGATGTCGGTCGTGCCAAGACTGCAGTGGTCTTGTCTGTACTAGCTATTGCTTCGTTCCACGAAGAAAAGGCGAGCGGTGAAAGCGGTACTTCGCCAGCAAGTCAAGCCGACGCGCAGTCGCAGAGCGATATGCTCTTCACTGAAGCGTTACGACTAACACAAGCTGAGACTGGTATCCCAAAGCTCGAGTCAGCTCAGTGCAGGCTTATACAGGTCCTGTACCTTCTCATGTCATGTCGCTTCAACCAAGCGTGGTATACGTTTGGCCATGCCCTACAGATTATCTCAGCGTTGGGTTTGCATCGCAGAGACGATCGCAAACGTCAAGCGAATGCCACTAAACGCGACTACATAGGTGAACAGTGTAGAAAGCGCACATACTGGGTGGCATATACACTGGACAAATATCTTGGTGTCATATTCGGGCGGCCCAGACACTACCACGACGAAGACATCGACCAAGGTTTTCCCGACGCTGTCAATGACGAAGACATGACCAGCACCGGCCCAAATACTAAGAACACAGACGACTGTCACATAGAATCGCTCGTGTATCATGCACGGCTGGCACAAATTGCCGAAAAGATATCCCGAGAGGTTTATTCGATCAAACCTGTACGTTTGCACACCACGCCCTTCAGCTCCACCCATCGACTAATCCGTTCTCAGGTGCCGGATCAGGTCCGACTTGCAGCCTCTCATCGCCTTGGGGCAGAGTTACGCCAGTGGAAAGCATCGCTACCACCCTTCCTTGGCGCCGTCAACCCTAGCAGTCTTATTCCTACGTTCCGACGGCAGGCAACCGCACTCAAATTGTCCTACTGTCATGCTGTAATACTAGCCCACCGCCCATTTCTCCTCAAGAATGCCAGGCGTAGCAATGTAGAGATGACTGCTCTTGCCCAAGACAGTCTCACAGAGTGCATTGCAGCGGCAAGATCAGTGTTGGAAGCAGTTGATCGTATGGCACGAGAGGGTCGATTGTTCCATGCGTTTTGGTGGACTCACTACGTCTGTTTCTGTGCTTTGGTTGTGGTCTATGTGTGGGCCATTCAACAGAGTACACACAACTCAGCGTCAGCTGAGGATCCTCGCGGTATCCTAGATCAAGCCGAGAGCTGTTTGCAGCATCTCGCCCAGGCAACAGCATCGAACTCGCCCTCGCGACGATACAGCATCATCCTGCAGGAACTCCGCACAGAAGCAAAGAGAAAAACAGCCATACCCCATCGGGAGCCAGTACTAGCATCATCAGCTGCGGTCAATGGCGGAATCCCACCGCCTTTGGATGGAGATGCGATACAGGAACCGGATTTGCAAAACTGGCAGCCACTTTTTGGTAGCCCGATGGACATGACCACGCCAGGGTTGCAGAACTTTCTCGATGACTGGCAGACGACTGACTGGCTTGACCTCGATGCCTCTGCTTTCGGTCCTTTTCCCGAAGTGGACGATATCTCAGCCTGGGTGAACAACGCATCGTAATGGCTTTTGTGTTCCTAGAGTTCACGGACGCGAGACGGAAAATTCACGTTAACGTATACAATACACCCAAGGTTATCACATTGGTCAAACAGAAGATATGTATACCTTCAGGGTACACTTTAATATTGAATTGACCCCAGAGTACCCGTGGTCATTGAGCTCGCGATAAAGCTCCTTCCCGACACAGAAGTCGACTGTAAGACTTCCGCCGATATGAAACATTAGCAACTAAGGCCCCAACGCCTGCTTTACAGAGTGTACCGGAATAACGGCGACTTGTCGCCCATGTTCAAGAGCTCCTCATCCGTGTACTTCGCCCGAATCTCGTCTTCGCTAAGCCTCGCCTTCTTCGTATTGCCCCACTTGTACGACAACTCCAGGAGAAATGCGACAATGAAGCCGGTCGCGCCGAACGCGAGCGACAGTCCGAAGCCAGTGTAGTACTTGGGCTTCTCGCTCTCCAGGTACATGTAACTGCCGATGACACCACCGATGTTACCGACGCAGATGTTGAAGGCAACGCCGATAGCACGGCGGGACGATGGAGCAAGGTTGTTGGCTGCCCAACTGCTTCCGGCCGGCTGAATGGGGTAGATGCCCATGCATGTCAGGATGATGGCAAAGAATGCCGGGCCGATATTGCCACCCAGATCGCCATCGAATGAGATGACTACGGCGTACCCGATGAAGATGAAAGAGAGAGGAATGGCAACGAACGGCAAACGCCAGTAAAACCTGTCCGAGAGCTTCGCAAAGAAGATGGAGCTCAAAGCACCAGCCACGTACGGTGGTACCGTCATCAGCTGGGCGTTAGTGTTGTTGAAACCCATACTCTTTGTGATGGTAGGCAAGGTGAACTTGGTCCCTACATACTGTTAGCCAGTGTCTGGTCGGGTTGCGAGTTACACATACCATATGAGCATGCCGATATGCAAAGCAGGATGTATGCTTGCATGTACAGGCGCCAGTTGCATAGCACGGCCTTCAAGTCGCTCCACTTGAAGCCCTCCTTTTGCTCCTCTCCGAATCTTCCGCCGTCTTTGATGAATCGTTGGAGTTCGAGGAAGCGGATCTCGTCGGGTTTCAACCACCGTCCGCTCAACGCAGGAGAATCGATCAGGAGGAAGAAGCACGAGACACCGAGGGCGACGGTTACAATCCCCTCCAAGATGAATATCCATCTCCAGCCTTCGTAGCCACCAACGCCATCCATCTTGGCGATGGCCGCAGCAAGCAGACCACTGAACGCCCCAGACAATGCTGATGCACAATAGAAGTAAGAGATCCTCGTCGCAAGGTCCTTTGGCATGTACCAGTAAGAGCAGAGATAGATCGCGCCTGGGAAGAATCCAGCTCTGTATCTCGTCAGCGCAGAAACAATGTGCTATGCCGCAAACTTACTCGAACACTCCGAGAAGAATACGGGTAATCAGTAAACCGACGAAGCCTTTGACCACGCCCATCATGGTCATGATGATACCCCAGCAGACGATGAGTATGCCGAGGTAGTAGGATGGACGCTTGAACTTCTTCAAGAGAATATTGGATGGAACTTCAAGAAGAATGTACGGCACGAAGAACACTGATAACACGATGTTCCATTGCACACCGTCAAGACCCAGGTCTGTGACCATGCCCTCAATCTTCGCATTGCCGATGTTCGCTCGATCGATGTGGGAGATGAGGTAAAGGACTGCAAGCATCGGCACCAAGCGAATGTCGACCTACGAATCATCAGCGGGTCACTCGACGCACAGAATCGGCGGTTTCTTACCTTGTGGATTACTCTTTTCCTTTTTTCTTCCGTGTAGTTGATGTAAAAGTCCGCATCTTCAGGTGCCAGACCTAGAACTTGGAAGTTGTCGATTTTGACGATCTGATGCGGCTTGGGCGAATCGATGGAGTCTGCCTTTTCATCGATGTATTGGATTTCGTGTTTGTCCATTGATGGAGACATTGCGATGAATGGAAAAGAGGAATGAAGTATACCAGGTCGACGCGAAACCCGGGATGCGATGATCATCAGCAATGTCGGATGCCAGACGCTTTATACACATGACAATGGTCGCGGCACACCATGTTGATGGCGGTTGGATTGCGGAGAAACATGTGGCACCCCGGTTTTTCGGTTTCCTGGAGAAAGCTAGTTGCGGGGAAAGTAGTTCTTGCACCAAGCCCGATCACGACAATCATCTAATCAGCTCCCTCGCGGATGGTTTTCCGAAGCTAACGAGAATCCGGTCAAATCAAAAGCGTTTCCGCCCCTCGGATGTATGCAGGTATGCAAGTCTCCACCTCACCCCAACGTTGTGGTCGAAACCGGGGAACGCAGCTGCACAGGAAGAACCGACAGATAATAATTCGACGATTAGCATCGGTTTTGACCTCTCAAAGCACAGCCTCTCTTTCATATCACTTCGAGCAAGCCTTTGTTACAAGCCACAATCACTATGGCACCAGCGCAGATAGCTATCCCTGCGCCACTACGGCCGTCAACACCACCATCCACATTCAGACATGCGCGAGACGGCCTCCTTCAACCGGACGAATCCTCAATAAAAACAGTCGATGCGCTCGTCCGGCATCGCGCGCGTCGTGATCCTCATGTCACCATCGTATCGTACCCGAGCTCTGGGGTTGACTTCGTGGATTATACCATGCAGCAGCTGGACGTCTTTGCGTACAGAGTAGCTCGACACTATCAGACCTTCATCCCTACAAGATCGAGTTCTGCGGAGACGCCAACCACAGTAGCCGTTCTTGGACCAAGTAATATGGACTACATCGTCTCGATGCTCGCGCTTACCAAACTCGGCCATACGGTACTTTTCCTTTCAACGCGTATATCTCAAGCAGCTATCGACTCTCTCATCACCACCACCGGAGCCACCTATCTGCTGGCAGATTCACGATATGCGCGATCTGCAATCGATGCTCAGAAAGCCATATCAGGGTTGCAGATCGGCGAAATTGCTAGGCCTAACACTTACAACTTTCCTGTTGAAGTCCATGCAGACACCCGCCTTGACTACCAGCTCGACCATACAATCGAAGCCTCGAACAACATCTACATTATACACTCCAGTGGTATGTTCTGTCTAACAGTCTGTTGGTGTTTGAGCTAATATGAGGACAGGCTCTACCGGACTGCCGAAGCCAATATACCAGCCACAGAGAAGTGCAATCGCCAATTATGCCATCAGTATGGATATGAAAGCATTCATTACCCTTCCGCTGTATCACAATCACGGCATTTGCAACTTCTTCCGCGCGATATACAGCGGCAAATCCATCCATATCTACAACGCCGACCTGCCCCTGACCCAATCTTATTTGGCTACGATATTGAGGCAGCATAGATTTGAGATCTTCTATGGTGTGCCTTATGCGCTCAAGCTTCTCTCTGAGACATATGAGGGGATCGAGCTATTGAAGCAACTCAAGATCGTCATGTACGGTGGGAGTGCCTGCCCAGACGCGCTGGGCGACCTATTGGTGAACAGCGGGGTCAATCTTGTCGGCCACTATGGGGCGTAAGTTTCATGTGATCACTTACAGCAAAGCCAAGCTTACGATGAGCAGCACTGAAGTAGGCCAACTCATGACATCCTTCCGACCTGCCGACGACAAGGTATGGAACTACGTTCGCGAGTCGCCGAAACTATCGCCGTATCTTCGATGGGTATCGTGCGGACCCAATCTCTACGAATGCACGGTTCTGCCGGGTTGGCCAGCGAAAGTCGCCTCGAACCTACCAGATGGCAGTTACGCCACGAAAGACCTGTTCGAACCGCACCCTACGATCGAGAAGGCATGGAAATACATTGCGCGTCTCGATGATACAATCGTATTGGTGAATGGCGAGAAGTTCAATCCAGTCATGATGGAAGGAACGATCCGGTCCCATCGAGCTGTAACTGAGACGGTTGTCTTTGGTTCAGGTCGACCATACCTTGGCGTTCTTGTTGTCCCAGCAATCGAGGGTATGCCGAAATCGAAAGTCTTGGATGAGATCTGGCCTGTTATTGAAGCGGCGAATCGGACGGCCGAAGCGTACGCCAGGATATCCAGGGACATGGTTCAGATCCTACCGTATGGCTGTCAATTTCCGCGTACCGACAAAGGCAGTGTGATAAGACAACAGTTTTACAAGCAATATGCCAATGAGATCGACAACGCATACGATGCTGCTGCATCGGCTCAAGGAGATCTCAAAACATTGACCGTTCCGGAACTTGAGGATTTCTTATGTACTGTCCTGGCCAAACAGTTGACGCAGGCAGGGGAAATTGGACGTACCACAGATTTCTTCTCGCTAGGTCTGGACTCGCTGCAATCGATCCAAATCCGGACGGAGATTCTCAAGAACGTTGACATCGGTGACAAGAAGCTCGGCCAGAATGTGGTATTTGACCATCCTTCTATTGCATCTCTCGCCGCACATCTCGACAGTCTTCGCACCGGGCAAGAAGAACAAGTTGTGTCGGTCACTGCGCAAATGCAAGACCTTATTGCTCAATACAGCAACTTCGAGCCCATTGCTAGACGTCAAGCTGCGCTTACTGGCGCGACTGGTTCGCTTGGTGCTCATGTTCTTGTACAACTACTCCACCGCTCGGATATCGACATAGTTTACTGTCTTGTACGAGCGAAAGACTACAAGACAGCAGCTCGCCGGGTTCGAGAGTCTCTCATACAGCGAAAGTTGTACCACACCCTTTCGCTCTCCGGACGCAGGAAAATACAAGCCATACCTTCTGACTTGTCCGAGCCCCATCTCGGCTTAGACGATACGACTTATGCGCGTGTTGCTTCAGGTCTTACCAGTGTTATTCACTGCGCATGGAGCGTCAACTTTAACAAGAACCTGATGTCATTTGAGAAGGACTGCATTGCTGGTGTGCGTCACCTGATCGATCTCTGCCTGGCTTCGTCATCGATCAAGCCTGCATCCTTCGACTTTTGTTCTTCGGTCAGTACCGTCGCACGATGCCCCGATATACGCACGCCTGAGCAATTAGCCGAGCTTGACTGGGCCCAGGGTATGGGATATGCCCAGAGCAAATGTGTTGCCGAACACTTGTGCTTGGCTGCAGCGAAGGAGACCGGTGTCAAAGCGCGAGTCTTGCGCGTCGGTCAGATCGTCGCGGACACTGTTCATGGCGTGTGGAACTCAACTGAAGCGATACCTCTCATGATGCAGTCCGCTCTTACTGTCGGTGCGCTACCTCGACTGCAAGAATTCCCAAGCTGGACACCAGTCGACGTTATCGCGAAAGCCGTGACGGAGATCTCGCTCAGCGACGCTGGATCCGTGGTGGCAAATGTCACCAACGCAAAGACTTTCTCTTGGAGCGACGATCTACTTCCTGCCCTTCGAGATGCAGGTCTCCAGTTTGATGAAGTTGAGCCCAAGGAGTGGGTGCGCAGGCTTCGCGAGTCCAATCAGGATGCGGAAGCGAACCCACCCATCAAGCTTGCTGACTTCTTCGCATCCAAGTACGACAAGGACATTTTCGGTCCTTCGCGTACGTATGATACCACTGTCGCCAGAGCTTTCTCGCCCTCTCTTGAGACAGCGCCTGTATTGGATGCAGCCTTTGTGAAGACATTTGTCAGACAATTCCAGAGTGCTGCCTGGCAGATACGTACTACTTCAGTCGCGAAGCCGATGAGACGCGTTGTCGTTGTAGTTGCCGGGCCTTGTGGTAGCGGGAAAAGCACTGTCGCACGACGCCTCGGCACTCACTTCAAAGCCCCTTGTATCGAGGGCGACGAGCTACACACTGAAGAAGCCATTGTATCGATGGCTGCCGGTACTCCCCTCAATGACGTCGCTCGCGCCCCTTGGCTCGCGCGCGTTAGACAGCGAGCGCTCGATACCGTGACCAAGGAAGGCCACGAGCGCGTATTAGTCTCTTGTTCGGCTTTGAAGAAGTCATACCGGGATGAGTTCCGGGTTTTGGTGGATGAAAAGCTACGGGTTGTGTTTGTGGACTTGCAAGTCGAGCCGGAAGAGCTTGTGCGTCGGATGAAGGGAAGAGGTGGTCACTACATGAAAGAGAATATGGTGGAGAGCCAAATGGCCATCTGGGAGACGGCTGATGTATCAGAGACGGATGTGATACCTGTAGATGCTGGACAGTGCGTTGAAGAAGTTGTAGAGGAGATCTCCGGGTTATTGGAGGCGCTCGATGTCATGTGAAACGCACGCCTCGGGGGCTGTATTATCTTCTAGTCCATACGCGCAAATATTAGAAATCGAGTGGTCCAAATCCTCAGTTGTTCGCATATTGCGATGCTGTAGACTTCACCGCACGTGAGCTAATGCAAGCGAGCGAGCGGTTTCAACGACGAATACATAGTCATTCAGAAATGGAGGAAGTATAACGTGCCGCCTGTGATAATTTCTTTCGTTTATAGACGCAAGCCAAGGCAATGAAAACCCCCCAAGAGCAGACCCGTGCGAGCTCTACCACTGCGGCGCCCTCTACCCCTAAAAGCGACAGTTCGCAGCCGCTCATCCACAGAACGCACAACCCCAAGATGGAAAAGTATAACGAAAATATGACCGGGCGCGGCAAAAGTGAGGGGGAGTCCCTACGAAACAGTCGAGACCGTCCTAACTTTGTCCAAGATCCACGGCGTACGGAACCTCAATGTCCTACGGTACCGGATGACCGCCCCCCACATCCCCATTCAGATTCATTCTTTGGTAGTCCTCAAATCACATCAGGTCCAGCGTATTCTGGGTATGGCCAAGCTCCTGAGCCTGGTGCCTACGGTGCAACGCCTTTCCCTACAACACAGCCATATACGCAAGATTCCACAGCTTTCTTCCTCCCTCAGCCAAGTTCAGCAGATCAATTCGAGGATCGTTTCAGGTCTCGAAAGCCGAATCGACCGGAGAACATGTCGAAGTCGCCAGGTCTGGTGCCGACTACCGTCGAATTACCTCAAGAATCAAGTATGCGGTAAATTACAATTTGAGAACATTTGCTCGGAAGACATAATGACGACGCAGTAGTCCAATGTCAGGTATATCGACAGAAGAGACGCCAGACCCTCGAGGCGAGTTCCCTAGTACACCTGCGTCTAATCAGTTTACCACGTTGGAGGAAGAATACGCGACCCTATATCATCAGCGTCATAACATTGGTATGCGAATGGAGGAGATAAAGAGAAGCTTTACTGCGGAGGAGTACACTGCTTTGATGGCAAAGCTGGATCCGCAGAAACTTCCGACGCTCAAGCCGTGGTCTGGTACTACTGATGGTTGAGCGACCGGTATGAAATTCAGTCTGAAGAAGCTACAAGGTCGTTTCCACAGCAGCTTTTGATGGACTTGGTCCCCCAAAGAATCCACAGTCTATGTCGTACTCAATCCGTATCGATGTGAACGACAATGCTGCTCTCGATATCTAAGGAGCGCCCGTCTCTGCGCGCGTGTTTTTGAGATATCTCACTAGCTGTTGAATACAGATAAAATTGATCGTAGCACTCTGGATGAGACTGCTGAAGCTCTTTTATCGCTGCTTCGAATGTTATTTCGATGGCGTATCCTGATTACGACGAGGATGCAAGCCGTCCCTGAGACCCCTAATCGCTACAAGCGAGATGGTCCAAGCTCAATCCCGCGGCGGCGTGGTGGGTGGAGCTCCGAGCATCAACACGCCGAAGCCAGCCAATTCCCTGCCGACAACCGCTGTCCCCTTCCACGTCGCTGCCATGCTCTCTGGAATTCTCATCTTCAACCAGAAGGGTGAGAACCTCATCTTTCGCGCCTTCCGCAACGACTGCCGCCCGCGACTTGCCGATGTCTTCCGCATTCAGGTCATCTCCAACGCCCAAGTACGCTCGCCCATCCTCACCCTTGGCTCCACCACCTTTAGCCATGTCAAACACGAGAACATATACCTGGTCGCAGTGACCAAGAGCAACGCCAATGCTGCGCTCGTATTTGAGTTTCTGTACCGCTTGGTGGGATTGGGAAAGGCTTACTTCGGTAAGTTCGACGAGGAGGCCGTAAAGAACAACTTCGTACTGGTCTATGAGCTACTGGACGAGATTCTGGATTTTGGATACCCACAGAACACAGAGACAGACACGTTGAAGATGTACATTACAACCGAAGGTGTCAAGTCGGAGAGGGCAATGGTAGGTCACATCGAGCGCGACCCGAGCAACAACAGCTGACAATATCACAGGAGGACTCCTCGAAGATCACAATGCAGGCAACTGGCGCCCTTTCCTGGCGGCGGGCCGATATCAAGTACCGCAAGAACGAAGCCTTCGTCGATGTCATCGAGGACGTCAACCTGCTCATGTCCGCGACGGGAACAGTACTGCGAGCCGACGTGAACGGACAGATCATAATGCGCGCATACCTCTCGGGCACACCCGAGTGCAAGTTTGGTCTCAACGACCGACTAACGCTGGGCGAAGATCATCTACAACAACCGTCTGGAAACAAGGCAGGCGCGAAAGCTACAAGGGCGGCAGCGGGAAGTGTGACGTTGGAAGACTGTCAATTCCACCAATGCGTGAAGCTGGGCAAGTTCGATGCGGACAGGATAATATCCTTTGTTCCGCCCGACGGCGAGTTCGAGCTGATGCGCTACCGAGCAACGGAGAACGTAAACTTGCCTTTTAAGGTGCACGCCATTGTCAACGAGGTTGGCAAGACCAAGGTCGAATACAGCATTGCTATTCGCGCCAACTATGGCTCCAAGCTTTTCGCGACAAATGTTGTCGTGCGGATACCAACACCCCTCAACACGGCGCGCATCACCGAGCGGACATCACAAGGCAAAGCCAAGTACGAGCCGGAGCACAACAACATCGTCTGGAAGATACCGAGATTCACAGGGCAAAGCGAGTTTGTGCTGAGTGCCGAGGCCAGCCTGACCAGCATGACCAACCAGAAGGCGTGGTCCCGACCACCGCTCAATCTGAGCTTCTCGTTGTTGATGTTCACGAGTTCGGGGCTACTTGTGCGATACCTGAAGGTGTTTGAGAAGAGCAACTACAGCAGTGTAAAGTGGGTGCGCTACATGACGAGAGCGGGTAATTATGAAATAAGGTATGTTTCTCCTGCTCCACCACTCGATCACATCCATCTCACGTATATTTACCAGGTTTTGAGCATTATTATTCTGTACATTAGCCTGGATTCACACAGGTATTATTGCATTGCAGGCGTCATTGAGCCACTAAAGATATCCTTGAGCACAATGAAAGTACAACATCAGCTTTTTGAGTATTGTTCCATCCGTGACCAGAAGCTCAGGCTGGCCGTTCGGATTCTGTTCTTCTTTCTGTCTTCTAGTATAGTTAAACGGATCAGCCACAGTTTTCTGGGCTCATACGATCTATCTCTGTCGTCCCGGTTGCTGGGAAATGGTGTCAAGCCCGTTATGGTGGTATCCACCCCTCGAAACCCCAACGGCACACGCGTGAACAGCGATCAGCAGCCTGCACGTCGAATATTGCCCTCGAAATGGCGTAGCTTTTGACTGTATCTTCACCTTGATTTGCGAGAAGTGGATATGCGCGATAAATATGAGTTGGTATTGATTGATTTCCTTTGCACCAGGCTCAAGAGGAGGACGTGGTCATGCAGCTTACAAGGGTGGTTGTTGTATCACCACACTAGTTAGCTCAACCCCTCATGCTGTGCCGCAGCCACAATCTGGACAGCGACTGGTTAACAGCCAGCAAATAGGAAGCGTTGTTGTTGCAGAATCAATTACGGGACGTCACTGCTTCTGCTACAGATCTCTCTTACTTCTCTTATCGTCCCTGACTTGCGAACAACAGCTGCTCCATCATGGAGGGCGTTGCTGCGTTCTCTCTGATATGCAACGTTATACAGATTGTCGAGCTTTCTCGAAAAATCATCACGACAGCAAAAGAGATCCAGTCTTCTCGCAGCGGTGCGATAGATGATCACGAAGAGTTGCAAGTCGCGGCTACATACCTACAGCGTACTGTTGATGATCTGCGGCACAAATCGACAGACGACGTTCTGCAACAGCTGGCAAGTCGCAGCCAGGCAGCCATCAGCAGACACATGGCTCTTTTAGAGTCGCTCCGTGGAAAAGGGCAGATTGGCTCATTGCAAGCCACGTTCATGGCTATGAAAGCACGATGGAAACAGCGCCAACTAGAGGAGTCGCAAGCACATGTTGATCGCCTTTCCAAGCACCTCACGACTCACATTATCTTGACTTGCATTCCAAGTTTGAAACGAGACATGGGTCATCTCGGTGCAGACATTGAGAATCATCATCAGAGGATGGACGAAGATATCGGAGTATTGAAGAAGCAACTAGCAAGAGTAGGCACGACGTTGGGTGAGACATCAAGGACTGGAGATACGACACAAGATTCAGTGCGCCAATTGCATCAATGGATCACCGAGAAAGAAGAGATACAAATCCAGAGACAGTGTTTGCATGCGCTTTACTTTCCACAGCTGCGTAGCCGGGAGGAAGAAGTCAAACCCGCGCACAAAAAGACTTTTGGGTGGATCTTTGATGATCCTAGCGATGACGCGGAAGCGATTCAGAAGTCGAAGTTAAAGCGATGGCTCCAGTCGGATGATTCTACCAAGAACCTGTTTTGGATCTCAGGTAAACCAGGAGCCGGCAAAAGCACGCTGATGAAGTTCATCGCTCATCACCCATCCTTGAAAGCAGAATGTCGGCGCTGGGCAGGTTCCAAGTCCCTCATCATCGTCGACTATTACTTCTGGAGACATGGGTCTCCTATGCAAAGATCTCTTAGAGGCCTCTTGCAGTCGCTGCTTTATCAGGTCTTGGGACAACAGCCACAACTCGTTAGTGAAGTCTTTCCTGACACCGAATGGATGACCGGCGGCCCTCAATTCCAGTTTCCATACGATAGCCTCCTCCGTGCTCTCAACCGTCTCATTACCATCGCACCTAGACACGATCTCCGAGTTCTCTTCCTGGTCGACGGTCTTGACGAGTTCGACGATAGGCCAAGTATAGATAGTGCTGGTTTACCTAATGTGAGAAGCCTGATGAGTCTTCTTCGTATTATTCACTCCAGCGCATCTGCAAAGATGTGCGTGGCCAGCCGTCCGCTTAACGAGTTCGATTCTGAGTTTGGACGAGAGTCAGATCGGTGCTTTCAGATCCATGAATTGACCAGAGAGGATATTGCGACTTTCGTGGACAGCACACTGAAGAAGAACGTAACATTCTCATCACTGGCGAACCACGATGCTGCTTATGAAAATCTCGTTGTCGAGATAATCCGCGCAGCTGAAGGGGTCTTTCTATGGGTCTCCCTGGCGTGCGACTCGTTGCTGGACGGACTCACGAACGAGGATCGAATACTGGATTTACGCCGGAGGCTTCAACGCCTTCCGCGTGAACTTGGGGACATGTATATGTACATACTATCCACCATTGAGCCAGAGTACCGCAGGAATAGTGCTCGGTCGCTGATCAGCGCTAACGTCGACTCATTCTTTCTCTGGCATATCTATCTCGACGAGGAGGAGCGTACAATAATTCAGAATCATCCGGATGTGAGTACCGAAGCGGGTGCCCAAGAGCTTTTGGTTGTTACGAGAAGAATGCGTAAGAGATTCACCGCCAGAACCAAGTGCTTACTTGGAGTCAGCCATAACTTCCCGAAGGGCTTTCTTCATCTGTACGTTCCGTGCGTGAGGGAAATATTACACCTGTGCTTAGATCGAGTAGAGCCTACTCACCGAACTGTTGCAGAGTTCCTTCGTCAACCAAAGGTGCTCGAGACATTGACCAACGAGGCTCTTCCGTTTAGTTCTGAGACACATCTCGAGGCTCTTCTCTCCGAACTTGCGTTCATCACACCACTTCTATCAACACTGTCTACATTATCAAAAATTCAAGATTTCAGATGGGATAGTGATCAGCCCTGGGTAATTGCAAAATCGTATGACTACCTGGCAACGCGTTGGTCAACCATATGGAACTACATGGAGAGACTGGCCGTAGCAAACTTGGGCTCGTTTCTGGACAGAATCAACGCATACTACCAAGAAAGCTCTTCACATCAAGTCTCGGCAAAGTCTAAAATCATCCTGTTTGCTCCAAGTTGCCCACATGTAACATATCTCTCATCCGCTTCGTGGAATTGGACCATCTTCGATCTGGCTGTTGCAAACCATGCACCTCGATCCGTAAGCTATATGCTTGATCGAAATCCGAGCTTAGCTTTGGATAACCCGCAGCAACTCCCGCCACTCTTGATGATTCTTGACGGCCCTTGCGACAATCCGAACGCTCAGGCAGTAGCTGATGTTCTACTTGAAGCAGGCGCAAATCCGAACTTGTTTTGTTTCGGTACGACACCCTGGAAATCATATCTAAGTCGGTTCATTGGAATAACAAGACCTCGTGACGCTACAGGAATAGTCAAACTTACGATGGCCTTGATCGACCATGGTGCCGACATCGGCGGAACATTGGAATGGAAGGGCTTCTCGTACCTGTACTTCGATAAGTTCAGGCTGGATAGGGATAAAAAAGAGAACGATATGTTTACGAAAGAAGTCTTGGATCTATCTATCAGGCTGTCCATAGTCGCGATGGTCGGTTACATCATCGATGAGTATGGCACATCTGAAGACAAAGAGGCGTGGTTGTCGCGATGTGAGCTTCCTGTTCTTGTTGAAGACGAGAATGCTCTAGGCATAATCAGACAAGTCTATAAAGACAAGTCAGAGTTGAACTGGCGAGGGCAGGGTGTTTAGTCATGCGTATGGTGGACACGGTGCATTCGGGTTCAGAGCCTTTTACAGAGCTTAGTGCAGTATCGCGTCTGTGTCTTGTTACTCAGAACCACGTGCTTCAAGTCATCACTATGAGCCCCAAGCTCCCGTCATAGCTTCTGCACATCCGTACATTGCTGTTTCATTTGGCGGCTGAGTTGACTCTACGAAATCGCCCACCTCCCGTTCTCATGTTCATACTCGCACAGCGTCTGGTCCCATGCTCTTCCTCCCGCTGCTACTTGATAAGTCACTACACCATGAATCATACGGGGGTACGTGTCAATTGTCGAGTCAGTCTACATGTTAAGACTCTGCGATTACGGTGAGTCTTGTAGTACTATAAAGCATCCACAGTGAGCTATTCGATCAAGTTGAAGTATCTCACCTACTACGTCTTCCAAACTCTTGAGTAAACGAACATCCCTTTAACCGTGTATATTCGATCCCGACAATTTGTAAGCAGCATACAGAGACCTAAGATCAAAAGTTGATACTTATCGGTTACAGAAACGAACACTCCAGCACCAAGATGGATGTTCCATCCAAAGACGACATACGCAAGAACCTCCAGACGTGCTTCTTGAGCGTTCGCAGTTCGAGACAGAGCTTGGATTCTAGCCAAAAGAGCAAGCTCGAGGCGGCTATGAAGGCTCTAAACAAGCTCAGCGGAATTGGCGAGCAATTTGCGAAGGCGGAGAAAAGGGCCGGTGCCCAGTTATCTGACGACTTATGCATTCTCGACTTCAAAGGCCAGTTCTGGATGGAGCATCTTATGTGGATCGCGTGGACGTTGAAGGATATCGTGATTGAGGGCGATAGGGTTCACCCACTTCTTGAACGTGAAGATCAGACAGTCAAAAGAGTTATTAAGCATTGGATTGGAGGTGATATAGCCTTCATAGCCCCGTATGAGGAATGCTGGCACGTTGTTTTGACAGAGCACATCGAGAAGCCGGGCAAATCGCAGGGCGAATTCTCCAAGTAGTCGAAACGGAGCTGGAACGGGTGGCGCGACATGGTGCATGGAACGGCGATTCCTACACGGTCATTTTAGCTTCTATAGCGTTTGTACGATTATACAGCTTGAGAATCATGCTCTAGCCATTTACACACATTGCAGATAATATCGCTGAACTCGTGGTTGCCAATCATGACGACGATAGTGATGTGTAGTGTTGTTAGGTCAACATGACCTAACGACTGTTATGATGCATCTCGCGCTCAGTATATTCTCATTTCATACTCAAGAATTAACAATATATGCACCGTCACCTAAAATCACCTGTAGAATCCTCATAGGCCAAACTCTGGATCGTCGCTGTTATGATGTGGGTAGAAGTCAATGTTTCTGTCGAATAGGGCATTCGAGTATCATGGCGTTTCAACGGCCAGTCACCAGTCGGCAGTCTCACAATAAATTAATCCACGTGGCATTTCGGTTGACTCTCTTCATGTGTCATGCTCTTGTCGCCCTCCACAACATGACTCACCAACCAACAAATATTTGGGGAACGTTGTTGGTTGGTCCGTGGCATTCAGCCCTCAACGTGGTCGACACTGTGCTCGATACGCTAAGAATTCTGCAACCATGATGGTGTGTCATGTTAGAAACGGAGTCAAGAAGCGTTCAACTGTTGGGGTAGCATCGCTAACAAGTTTCTGGGGAGATCGACACCCCGTGTCCAACATGTCAATGTGCGCTCTGATTCACAAGTAAATGTGTTGGAGATTGACTTCCTGGATCGGCTTTACTCTTCGGTCTGTATCTTCATTCGCATAACCTGATCGGGCCAAGGGCTAGTATAGAACGCCCTTAGTACTCCTAACCTCACCCTCCCATTGCTTCACCACAGTTGTCGCGTGCCTGATAGCGACCGCAAGCGCCTTGAAGGCACTCTCTGCCCTGTGGTGATCGTTGTCACCGCGTATGCAGTCAACGTGGAGGGTGGTGCCCGACGCCTGCGCAAAGCTTTGGAGGCAGTGCGGGATCATCTCGCAGCTCAGATCGCCAATCTTCTCCCGCTTAAGACCCAGCTCAATGATGCTGTATGGCCTGTTCGATAGGTCGATGACAGCGCGTGACAGTGCCTCGTCGAGCGGTGCGTATGCGTGTCCGAAGCGTGCCAGACCCGTGCTTCCCTGCAGCGCATTCTTGAAGGCTGTGCCTAGCGCCAAGAAGGTATCCTCGCTCGTGTGGTGGTCGTCAATGTGAAGGTCGCCCTTGCACCGTATGCGCAGACTCCAGCCAGCGTGCTTGGCCATGGCGTGGATCATGTGGTCGAGGAAGCCGATGCCGGTGTCGACGGAGATCTCCTGGGATGTCGACTTCTGGGTAGCGTGGTCCTTGTCTACCTTCTCGCCATCGCCATTGAGACTCTTCTTGTCGTAGGCCGCCCAGAAGTCGCTGTGCTCGTAGGGTGAGAGGTCGCCGCCATCGATGTTTATCGAGACCTGGATCTTCGTCTCGTTCGTATCGCGGTTGAGGCAGCAGGCGCGCGGCATGGTGGCGGTCGTGTGCGTATGATTGATCTCGGCTGGCTTCGGGGGTGTTGGGAGCTGGTAGAGCGGTCAATGAAGGATGGCAAAGTAGAGAGACAAAAAGTTGAAGCGGATGCAGAGGGGCTTCCCCACGCCCCACGTCATGGCGCCAAGCAATATAGGGCTGGAAAAGTCTGGCCAACCAACGAACCGCCGAACCAAAGTCCGCCCCAAAATTTTGATATCGCAAAGTCACGTCTCGAACACAGGGTCGTCATTCAGACGCAGTCATATAAACGCGTTATCTCTCAACCGACACCAGCTAGTCTTTAAGAGCAGGGAACAAAATGCCAGGCGCAACAGAAGAACCCACGCAGGTCCCAATCTTGGATCCTACCTCCGAGAACAACGAGGAGATCGATCCGGCGATCGATCGCGACAGGATCAGAGTCGTACGTACGATCTGAATGATATAGAAAAACGCGTATCTAATCTGTCTTAGCTGTCCGGTGCGACAGAGACGGCAGCATCTTTCCAGTTTGATGGCGAGGACCACACGCTAGGCAACGCGCTGAGATACATCATCCACAAGAAGTAGGCCAAAGCTCTCAGCGCTTAGATGAGTAAACAGCTAATGGCCCCATAGCCCCGATGTCGAGTTCTGTGGTTACTCCATTCCGCATCCTTCAGAAGCCAAGATGAACTTGCGCATCCAGACATACGGTAGGTCATACACGCGCTGCTAGATTGATCTCACAACTAACACTTCACTAGATGGTGTAAGTGTATACACCGTGCTGGAAAAGGGCCTTGAAGATCTCATGGCCATGTGCGATGTTGTCGAGCAGAAGTTCACAATTGCACGCGATGACTTTGTGAACAAGATGGAAGAGTAGGGCCGTAACGCGCCTATAGTTACGAAAGTATTGCATTGCTGGCGTTCAAGGATAGCATGGACAACTGGCGAAAGGAAAGGAAAATGGTATTGTCTTCAGCTATATACACCGAATTTTGTTCTTGGTTGTCCCCGGACTTTGGTGGTAATGGACAAATCAGTTGCGACCCTATACATGCGCATTAGCATATGATTCCGCGCGAGTAATAACGCAAAGAGTGAGCGTACCTCCAAGAAGCCGTTGATGAAGTTGCTTGGTAGCCGGGCCTTGGGATCCTCTTCCGCGCGGAAGTATTTGAGAACGTGTGACAATTGTTTCCAGAAGTTGAGTGTTTCCTGTACGATTATCAGTACCTTCCCTACTATCAAATCGTGTTGGTCCGTGGTGTACCTGGAACTCCTGATGACTGTTGAACAGCAGCACATCTACTGTTTTGAGTTGATTCACGTATCGATGCCGCTCGAATTCCTGCCGCATTTTCGTCCGAAGCGTGGATACGGGCATGTTCAGCGAGTACATGGTCTGGATTTCGGGGGCCTGTAAAGTCATTGTCAGTCCAGGTTCCAGGTCCTGCTGCCCGCTTCTCCGCATCCCATGCTTTCCCTCCCTCGTTCCAGCTCTTTCCGTACACATCCTGTACCCAATCCCCAAATCCTCCCAAAGGGTTTGTACATTCCGGAAGTCAACGTACCGACCGGAGCCAGTCCCGGTAGCTGTGAATGACCCTCTTCTTCGCATCAGTCCAGTTGACCGCTGTGCCCGCATTAGCCTTTCCATTCTCCCAATGTTCCGTGAGCGTGTTCGACTAACAGGAGCGCGTGCGCTGAGCGAGGTAGGTGGGGTTGATGACCATGTTGGCGGTGTTGGGGAGCTTCCAGTCGTCTCCAAGCCGGAGCTGGAGTGACGATGCGGCTCGCGGGAGTGGAATGCCAAGACCTGGCGTTAGCGCGGATTTTACTCCCGGCGCAGTCGCGAAGTTATCGAAGGCTTCTCTTTCGAAACCACGAATACCCTCAACGTCTTTACAGCATACTCCAAGCTCGACCACATCTGTCGCCATAATCGACATTCTACCTCGCGCCAAATTCGCAGATTTCGGCCTACCACAACCAGCCCAGTCATGCCTCCAGTCCGTACCGCACGCGCTTCGCGCAAGGCCCCGCCGGAGGGATTCGATGACATCGAGGACACCCTCCTGGAATTCCAGAACAAGATGAAGGACGCCGAGAACGCATCGCACGAGGGCAAGAAGAAGTACGAAATGACGTGGCCCATCTTCCAGATCACCCACCAACGCTCGCGCTACATCTACGACCTATACTACGAGAAGGAGGCCATCAGCAAGCAGCTCTACGACTATTTGCTTAAGAATGGCTATGCAGATGCCATGTTGATCGCCAAGTGGAAGAAGCAAGGCTATGAGAAGGTAAGTTCGTTCCACACAGGCAACCTCTTAGCTCGAATCAAACTAACTTGTGAGTAGCTATGCTGCACGCGCTGCATCCAGACCAAGGAGACAAACTTCCGCTCGACCTGCATTTGCCGTGTCCCCAGGGATCAGCTCAAGGAGAACCAGGAGATTCAATGCGTGAACTGCGGCTGCAGAGGGTGCGCCTCCAGCGACTGAAACTGCGAGGACAGACCCATACTCTGATTAATAGCGATAGACGCTGTCTACACTCTAAGAATACTGCCAGGGAGGATGCAAAGAAGCGCAATCAAGCGCGCTCGACAAAACCGGGCGCAGTCAGCAGGTAGACTGCTACAAGATACTGAAGTTGGCTGCTCATACCGAATGGGCCGCCAAGATGAGTTTGAGAACACGGTCACAACAAAAGCATAGGGTGTGTCTATTGACCAGAACATAATAATTCAAATGTTAACTTGTATACAGAGAAAAGTGAGTGAATGATGGTGTCCCCAACCTGGACGCCTGCAACCTGTGGGTATACTTGAACCATTACGCAAGTCGTCCAGTCGTAAGGGAAGACCCAGTCTATGTTTGATATCCGCCTGCCCGCCACCCATTAACCAAAACGCCTCTCCAGCAACTCAGAAGGCCGAGCTTGCGTCGCTCATCCGCTTGTAATTGGAATTGGTACTACGTTGTGATGATCTCCGGCTCATATCCCGACCAAATCGCGATTCCGGGAGGGAATCCAGAATGCCTTGCCGCCGAACCCAAGCTGTCGGTGGTGGAGAGGGCCATAGTTCTGATATCTCGGATCCCAAACTCCTCCTGGCCAATTCGCTATGTGTTAGTCGGAATGGGCTAGCCCCGTCAATTGGCGAGTCTCGACCGGAGCGACCCTTCTCCGATATGCTGCGCGCGGGTGTCTTTGGTGTCGCGCCATCATCCTCTTGGTCTTGATTCACCATTCGAATGTACTCTCTGCTTTGACCGAGAACCTGGGCTTCTCTGTGCCGGCCATCAGAGACATGAGTGCTGAATGCGGACATGTTGAAAATCTTGCTTCCTCTCCGGGTGCTGTCTAATGACGGCAAACGTATCATGTAATCTTTCTCTGGGGCCGGAGGAGGTGTTTGCAGAGTTTGCCTCGCTTTCCGCGCTTTTCGTCTGCGCCACCAGAATGCGGTGAAGATGCATATCGCACAGAAGGCGATCATGACGGGTATCATCCCAAGGCCAATCTTCGTTCCGAGGGTCATTCCTGGTCCTCCTCGTGCTATTGAGTGTGCAGACGGTGTTTCGTCTTTCATGGCTGTTGGGACGGCTGGCGGCGGCGGCGGTGGTGGCGGTGGTGTCGACGAGTCTACGACGAGCGCCCTTGGTAACGATGCTGGCTGCGCTGAAGGGCGCGTGGGCCTTGTGCTTGGAGTGTTGAGTTCGAGATTTGACATTACTGGGCTTGCTGTATTTGCGCGTGCCCATACATGGGGTATATTAATGATAGGACTCATGTTGAGTGTCGATGTGTGTTGGACAAAACGAAGTAAAGAAATGTTTCTAGGTATGGTAAAGAACGAAGGTAGAAGAAATGGCCATGCTATGTCCAATATCTTTTTTTAGTGAGTGAATTAGTGATGCCGACGAGGTGTCTCTATCATAGCATGTCGAACGCAAACCTGAAACCAAGCAGATAAAGGTGCCTTTGTAGAATACAATGGAAGCACGGTCGAGCACCGCCTACCGTGCTTTCGAAGACAATCACCACACTGACCACGGGATGATTATCGATTTGCGCGTTCCGCTTGGTCCCCCGGTGGTCTATGATGAGACGCAATTTATCCCGACCATAGTCGTACGGCACTGAATTCGCATGCAACTGCTACTTGGTGAAGCCTGACTGCTGCGGTGTTCCTTACTATGCCGGTAAATACACAAGAGGGGTTCATACCTGCATCTTCCAGCTCTTGGTACAGACAGGATCAATCTGTCCGTACCTAGGTACGATAACACTTGCATCCGCATGAACATGACAAGTATTTCTTTTGCGCGCATAGATTCTCGTGAAGTACCGACTCCCCTCAGCACATGCGAACGTCTAAACCCAAACGAACAAATGCCATCATCCCGTTCATCTCTCATTTGCTCAGACAATCGCAAAGATGAGATCAACACGACTAACACGCTGATTGATATCAAATTGCCACATACTCGAAGAAGTCGGAAGGTCTAACAGTTCAACACCGATGGTTGGGGTCTTGGAATGGCTAGCGTGATGCACTTGCGCTGTTTGTAGCGTCTCCTTGTGCGTCCCGCCATCCCTCTTCTACCAAGCCTGAGCATGGCTTCTCGAACGCCCATATATACTCGACAGTCTTTTCGTCGTCGTTCTTACATCCGAACAGCCGGAGAACATCTCCTCATGGTGTTTTTTTGCTGGCTGAAACACAACACAGAGATGATCCCCGAGCTTTCCCCACGTTTCTCGCCGCACCTGCGTGCACGAAGATAGAGAGCTGATACATATGCGCCCACACAGCGTGGAAAATGCCAGTCTTTTGGGGAGACGGAGCCCATTGCCCATCACTCGCTTTCAAAGCCAGTCTGCGCGATAGCGAGATGTTGCTCTAGCAGACTACTCACGGCTAGTGTTCCTCCCTTCGGCCGCCCTTGTAGTAATCGCATCCTTGGGTCCTCTCTTTCATATTGTGCAACCATGAGTTCTAGACGCCACAAAGAGCTGCTCATCGAAGGTGGAGTCTGAAAAGCTATAAGCAAGCATACTTTCGACCGGTCACACAGGTTCTAGACGCAACCTTGGAAGCAGCATTCCACAGCTGTGATATGATGAGAAGGGATCGTCGCACTGTGGCAGAAAATCAGCTTCTGCGATGCTGTGTTCACGGCGCAAATCAGAAATGACGAGTATTACGTGCAGCAGCGTTCAGGTTATGTACTCTAGAGAGTATCGCTCTAAGATTTGTCTTACTGTACCCTTGGGAAAGCTACCTACCTATCTGAAACCCGCCGACGTCAAATGCCATCATTGCTTTCAGTATGCCCATCCTCTATATTACCTTCCACGGACTTGTGATATCGATGGGCAAGGCTGCTAGGACAGATTATCTTGAGACGCGATGAGTAGCCGGGACAGACACATGCTGTTTCAACGGAACATGACGACTTGTCGATTTCGGTAAACGATCACCTCGGTACCTAGGTAGTGACGCAATGTTGGCGAAACAGCCGCTTTCTGGCCAAGACATCACATCTGATGTTAGTAGCTATTTTGGAAAGATCAAACATAGCGGAACCTTGTCAAGATGTAGTTTACGCTACGCCACACATCCTGATACGCACGAGTGAATGCTCACATATTAGGTTCTCAGCAAGCGATGCCTTGCCAACGCTGATGGCCACAGCCTGCAAAGAGTGGGTTGCACTGGGGCTCTCCCCATTCGTCATCCTCAATCTTAAGGGAGCAAGGCTGCCGCAACAAGACCGAAGCCGAGAGTGAGGCCAAGATGCCATGTCAAACAACTGGGGTCCGCTTGTTTCACAAGGCGCGTTCCAAGACTAACAACATTGGTAT